AAGAATAAGCATAAAGTGCTCATGCCTCCACGCTTCAGCATTGCAACATTTGAACGGCAGCAATGTAAAAATCACACAATTAAAAAATGCTAAAACCCTAATGCGACTGCCTGCATAAGAGGAACAGGCACCAGCCCTGGAGGGAGGTGTAGAACTGGACCCAGCCCGCAGCCCAGAAATCCAACCCAGCAAGCCCTGCCTGCATCAGCTGAATCTCAGCTGATCTATGAGCGAGAACTCAGTGCTGGGGGGAAGGGGAGGATGAAGCTTGGTGTGTGTTTGTAATGCAGCATTCTCATGGCAAATAGTGACTATGACAAACATATTTAAAAATCTGGGTACACAGACCCATCCACATCCTGCTCTTTGTCATTTGCAAAGGCCAGGTTAATAAAATCCAACATTAGTCTTTTCAGCAACTTATACACACATTTCTTTCTGCAAGCCAGAAAGAACCAGAATGCAAATGTTCCTGCTGTTGATGCAGCCCAGAAAGAATAGACCATGTCAGGAAGTCACTAGCAGCTAGAAATGCTGGAGAAAACATGGATTTGTGAGTTACGTGAGCCTTAAGGAAGGGCAGGGCCCAGTGCCAAGTACCACAAGCACCTTACTGGAGGGCTTGATATAGATGCACAAAACGAAACTCTCAGTAGTTAACTCAGACATCCAGCTGTGCATTTCATCTGTCCTTTCAGAACCATCCGAGCACCTCAGTGGGAATGAGGAGCTCCACACGGAAGCAGACAGGCCTGGAGAGTCAGTAGGCAGGCTGAGATGGACCGGTGAGTGCCACAGAACCCCCAGGTTTCAGGAAGAGGAGCCGAGTGTGGAGAATAGAGATCGCATCTGATAAAGGTTCCTGGGAAAAGTGAAGTTTTACTTGGCTCTTGAACCAAGCCCAAGGTGTGATTAATGTTGCTTTTTTTAATATCATGATACTACAGTATTACATATTCATTTGCAAATTTTAAAAAAACACCTAATAAAACCACAAAAGAAAATAAACCATCTGTACCCTTACCACCCAGACATAACCATTATTGATGTGTTATCATATTGTCTTCCTTTTTTTTTTTTTTTTTTTTCTATTTCAAAATAGGAAATCATCGGGGCTGGGGAGACGGCTCGGTGGAATAAGCGCTTCCCTGGCAAGTGCAAGGGCCTGAGTTCAAGTCCTAGTTCCAAAAAAAAAAAAAAAAGGAAGTCATTAGATGTCTGCCTTTATTTTTCCCTACATAAATTGTTATGGAGCATTTGTCTTTATCACTGTAGATGAAACATACATGCAGGAGCTGCCTCCCCGGGCAGCTTTACAGACAGCTCCCGGTAGCTTGCCCAGAGCATAGCTGGCTCAGTGTTCAGCTCCTCAACTGCAGAACAGATTTCCTCGCTACATGGTTGACTTGGGGCTCAGGCCCACCATTAGAAACCAGCTCTCCAGGGACTGCTTCCTCATTTTTGTCCTACCTATGTCCTGTCCCAGACCACTAGGCCCCTGTTTTCCACCTGTGTTCTGGGACAACCCAAGTGTGTGCCCCCTTTGCTGATCCCTCGTCCTCAGCTTCAGCCCCGACCTTCACTAACTTCAATGTGGATTTAAACTCTGTCCGGGCTTTGTTTTGTTACAATTCTGCCGCCTTTTAATTTCCGGGCAATTGCTCCTCCTTGTGTCCATCTCCTCCTCTGTATTTCATCTTTGCCTTTTCCTAGAGGAAGCATCATCTTGAGTTCATAATTCAAATAACGTCTTATGTCTAACAGGTCTAGAACCCCATTCTGCATGTGAGGAAGCCCGATACCCCTCCTGACAGTTCCAGGAATTCTATTGTCCTCCTTACGGTGGCTTCGGTTTCCTGCTTCCACGGCGCCCTGCACCCTCCGTTGGCGTCTTGTCTCTTGAACACAACGTCTCTTCTCTAGGAAGTAAGAGTCCCTCCTCCCGTGCCTACTCACGCAAAGCACAATCACAGCTGCAGGGTGGATGTAGGGCAGGCTTGGGGTACAGAGCATGAGGAAGACCTTAAACTCAAACCCTAAATACCCACGTGCCTGGCAACCTCCCGGGCTCTGGATCCTCCTCTGCGCCCACTCTTCCAGGACAGCCCTCCTCCTGCCCAAGGCTGGTCTGTGTCCGCACCCTCCTCTGGAAGCCTTTCTCCTTTCCTCCACCTCCTGCCTGCCACCCAGGTCTCATTCCAATTCTTGCAGCTTTTTGCTTTGTTCTGTCTTTCGAGACAAGAACTCTGTACACGCTGGTCTCGGACCGGAACCCCCAGGTTGGTCTCTCCTCATCCTGACGGCCTCAGTCCTGACTACCCCATGCCACAGCATGGAGTGTTCTGCATGTGCTGTGATCCTAAAAGAATGTGAGGAAGCCCTTTCCCAAGGACCTGGGGCAGGGGCGGTGGTGACGCGGCTTTGTGAGGCAGAGCAACAGTGAAGCCACAGTGGGATTCTATGCATTTTTTTAAAAAAAAAACCTATTTATTTGGTACAGGATCTCACTACGCAGCTCAGACTTGTAGTGATTCTCCTGTCTCGGCCTCCCCAGCACTGGGGTTACAGGCGTGTGAGACCATGCCCATTCTCTGTGGCTGGCTCAGTGCACCCATGCCGGCACGGCATGTGGCACCAGGGATCAATCAGGTCCTGGCACTTGCTGAGCTGTCTCCCCATCACCACAGTGGGATCTTAGAGCTCTAACCGTGGCACCCTGGCAGCCTGGAAGAAGAGTGCTCACCTGCCCACAGGGACAAGAATACTGCGATAGCTGGAGCCACACATGCAGGCGCCAGCGCACCGCATCCCCCACGGCCTGCCCCCAAGAGTGCCCACTCCTACTCCAGCTGTCAGGCACAGCCATGTGTCTTGCTACGGACAGTGGGATAGGAGTGGGCAGGCCCTGGGCCCTTGTCCTTGTCAGCTGAGGCTCAAAGAGGGTCACAAGCTTCCACTGTCACTCACTGCCCTTGGTTAATAGGCCAGCATATCCCCATAATCATTTGGGAGCCAAAAGGATGTGAAGCAGAAACTGCAGCTAACCCTGTGGCCATTTAGTTGGACAAACAAAAGAATATGGACCTCTATGCTGTCAGCCACGGGAACTCGAGGGTCGCTTGCTGCACGGCAAGCTAACCACTGCAGGGGCTGATGCACTCATCCCTGCTCCAGAATACAAGTCTGTGAAAAGTGTCAAAATGAATGTCATGGGCTCCAGAGATGACCAAGTCAGAAGCAGGTCACGCAAGGACTCGCACTCGGGATGAGAATCACACAGGGCATCAGTCCTGCCGGTGCAGCACAGACCCCAGCGCCTCTCCGCCTGCTGCTATAAGTACCTGCTCTGCAGTCACTTAGTCTAAGTAGGGAGAAACTGATTTCATGCTGCTAAAGTTTGCTTTCTGATGTCTTTATGTGCACAATTCAAATTCTGGCTGTCTTCTTGTCATCTTTGAAATTTTACTCCCCAAAGCCAACACCATGCTTAAACATGTGAAAGCATTCGGAAACACTCTAGAGCTTGTGTGGATTTCACCAATAAGAAGTAAGGAGGCTTGCGCCGGATAGAAGACAATGTGTGAGGAACAAAGACTGCTCAGTTGAGTCTCTCCCCCAAACGTAATTCTCTCTCTTCCCATCAACAGCCCACCGTCCCTGGGCCCATGCTCTATGGCACCCAAGGGTGCTTCGAGAGCTCAACCTTCGGGCGTGACGCAAGACCCTCCCTTCTCAATGTGTGCTTGAGCCACCTTCTCCAGAGTTTCCTAAGAGAGACCCAGAACTTGGCCATCCAACACCAGGGCTGCGGCTTTCAGCTCACTGCTAATTAATTTTTTTTATTAGTTACTCTCTTGTCCCTGGGACAAAATGCCCAAAACCCCTAACTCAAAGGAAGCGTCTTAGGTATTTTGTCTCAGTGATGAGAAAATTTCACTAACAGCCAAAGTGAAGGAAGGAAAGAGTCTCTTAGCTCACAGTTTGGTCTGTGATCGGCTGGCTCCCAGGCAGGTGGCACAAGGCAGGCGTCACAGAGGAGAAATGGCTCAGGGCAGCAGAAGGCAACGAAAGCAGCAAGGGAAGGGGAAGAACAGCCTCTTTCTGTCCCTCACATTGTGCCCAGTCGACTCCGATTAGCGCGGAGCCAATCCAGTCATCAGACAGATCCAACCATCACCAACCCCAGCCCCAGAACCCTTAATCCAGCATTGCACTAGGAACCAATCCCACGCTGTATTCAGCTGCCTCCCAGAAGAGCCCTACCTAAGACTGCAGGAGCCCTGGGGGGCGTCCACACACAAACCAGAACAGCAGGAGAGGTTCATTTTGGCTCATGTTTCAGAGGACGCAGTCCTTGGAGTTGGGCTCCAAGGCAGGATCAGGAGATGGGGGACATGGTGGAGGAGACCGCCGCACCACCCATGGCGGCCAAGAAGCAGAGAGAAGGGGGAGGCTGAGGCAGGAGTGCACCGTTCCGGGTCCCACCCCAGTGACCACCTCCTATACCACACTCACCATGAATTCGCTGGTGAGCATAGGACCCCACAGTCCAATTGTATCTCAATACATGAAACTTGGGTGGGGGGAGGCTCAAAAATGAAAGAAAACAAAATGAAATTTGAGGTCCTTCAATTAGGTGCCTCTCTTCTAATCACGAGTCATCCTTAGTTCAAGGACACCTGGGCGTTAGTACAAATGTGGGGGGGAGCGGGGGGGAGAGATGGTGTCACCAGCCGCCCCAGCACTGCTGCAAGGCGGCAGGAGACGGACATACACACCACTGCAAGAGGGGCCAGGAGGCAGAAATGAGGGCCTGGGATAAGCACTGTCCACTTCAACACTGGCCCAGGACAGCCCCGGGACAGCTTCTGTCCTGGCCACATCCCTCCTCGGAAGTCTGCAGGCAAAGCAATCTGGATGCACGGTGTCCCCAGGGACCAGCAGCGCAGAGGGCAGAGCGTGCTGCCCGCCGCCGCCGCCCGCCGCACAGGGGCGCTCACCTTCTGGGTGAATTCGCTGGCCTCGTTGATGTACCGGTCGCGCTCCTTCTCCAGCTGGAAGATGATCTTCCGCTGCTTCTGGGCCTCCTCCTTGTAGTTGTGGATTTCCTCTTCCAGATTCCGCTTGGTTTGCTCGTGGAGCTTGACCAGGTCTATCTGCTTCTGGGTCGCGCTGATGGCCTTAAGCATATTCTAAAGGCAAGGACAGTGACACCACCACATTACTCAGGGTTGGAGGAGTGGGGTGGCCCACCGTGCACCCCCCACCTGGGCCAGCACATGATCACGCGCCTTCTCTTTTGTATGAACAAAAATGATATTCTCTACAGATTATTGAGTCAACTGTGAAAATCTTATACAAGGTGTTTCATTTATTTTTAAATTTTATAGATTTATTTATTATTTATTTTTGCCGTAAAGTCTTGCTGCGTAGCCCAGGCTGGCCTTGACCTTGCGACCCTCCTGCTTTGGCCTCCTCAGTGTGAGGGTTACGAGCGTGTGCACCGTGAACGCACTTACAGACCCACTGGGTGGCCACAGTGCCCCTAAGAAGCAGCTCTGCATGCTCCCCTGCCAGGACAGCGCCAGGCTCTCCTGCAAGCTCGTGCACCAGGCTGCGGCAGGGCAGCCCTGAAATCCGCGCGGGCAGACCCCTAAGTCTGTCCTTTCCCATCCTCAGCTCAGCTCGATCCTCCGCCTGGTGAGGTTAGAATGGCAGACACTCACATAGGTGGGGCTGTGACCACGAAGTAAATCAGCTGGGGAACATGCAGACGCCTAGAACTCCCCCGTGACCGTTACCTCACTGCAGGGCAAGGGCCTAAGGAAGGAGAGCCACAGCTCGAGGTGCGTGCTCACGGCACCATGTCAGATGCCCACAAATGGAAACAGCCCAAACATCCCCCAGCTGACAGCGCAGCAACAAGAGTGGGTGTGTCCACCCAGCGGCATGGAAACAACAGGAAAGCCACCAAAATGCTGGTGAGCACCCCAGGACGGAGCAGCCAACAAACATCCTTGGGAAAGATCCCAGGCACAAAAGGTCACAGGATGTGACCCTGTACACACAGAGCTGTCAAATCCACAGAACCCGACAGGGATTGAGTAGCTGCCTGCGCAGGAGCAGGGAGAAATGAGCAGGGCCTGCTAAGGGGACGGCTTCTGCTGGGGTGACGCGAGCAAGGCAGTGGCAAGGAAGGGGAAGCACTGTGAATGCACAGATCCCGCTAAAGACAAGTTCGTGACACACACGTGTAGGTGTAGCTAGAGGGAGGCTTAGGCCCACATTTAAAATGTTTAGCCTAGTTTTGTTTTTGTTCTTAACTTTTTATTTATTTGGTACAGGGTCTCACCGCACAGCTCAGCCTCCCCAGTCCTGGGATTACAGGCGTGCGCCTCTGTGCCCATTTCTGGGAGGGCGTGGTACGCCCAGTATCCTGGGGCTGGCACGGCAAGTGGCACCAGGGATTGCACTAGGTCCTCGCACTTGCCAGGCAGGCGCTTACACTGCTGAGATATCTCCCCAGGCCCTTGGGGTTTCTTTTCTTTAATAGTTGAGAAAAAATTTATTCTTTAAAACACTTCAGCACTTAATTTTTTTATTCTAAAGAGAATAAAAATTTTAAAAAATAAGTACAGAATTTCAAACAAGGTGACAGGAAGTCAACAATGTTGTTATACTGCATATTGTTGTCATCCAAGTAGTTGCTCAGATTGCCATAGATTTGCATAGGAATGCAAAGCTTATCAAACAATTAAACTGTTCCTGTCAGCAAACCAATAGAGATTAGCGGCATGACTATCCTCGCTAACTTTTTGCTTCCTTCCTCCCTTCCCCCATCTCAGTTGTCCTTTCCTTTTGGGCAGTTTCTTTCCAGTGGACGTCATACCCCAAGACCAGCCTGTCGGGTTCAAGGCGTCTGGAATGGGCCGGTCTGCTGCACTGCTGCTGCCTGACGCCAACACGCGGCCTCAGGCTGCCCTCACACACACACACACACACACACACACACACTCACACACACACGAAGCCGTATGAAACATGGCAGGAGCCACCATGCACCCTGGAGCCGGCTCAGCCGACAGCCCCACAGCTGAACAGACCACGCGGCCCCCTCGGCCCTCTGAAATAGAGCCTTCCAGTATTTGTGTATGTGTGTGTGTCGCGTGCACACACAGCTGATATCCAGAGTCAAACCCAGAGCCTCACGCAGACTAAGTAGGCCTCCTGCCACTACCCCTTCACCCTCAGACTTTCGTGACTTGGTAGAAGATGTAAACTTGGGAGCTCATGGTGAGAACTGTGTTTCTGCCGAATGGACAAAAAGAGCCTCGCAGCGAGAGCACCGGACCCAGCCCTACAGGGAAGAAGTCTGCTGACGGACAGAGAAGCTCTCGCTCCGCGATGCTGGGCCAGCCACGTGGGCTCCTGCCACTTGCTGCTTCCTGGCCCGCCTCTGTCCTCGGGCAACAAGGGGCCTTGTGGTTCCTCCTCGAATTCTGCACAAGCTCACACACCTGGCCGGCTCCAGCAAACTGCCGCCCATCAGCAGGGCAGAGGCCCAGGGAACGCGGGACAGTCGTGCACGGAACCAGCCTTCCTCTCAGCAGCGGGGCAAGCAGGGCTCCAGGAAGGACAGGGCCGCCTCAGACGACGCTGGAAGACTCACTGCGCTGCTGCCTTCAAAACATGTTGCTCATGCTTTCAGCAAGACGCACCTCAGATCAGTGGGGAAAGTTTGGTACACAGTCCACTGTTGTGCTGGGCAGTGAGAACGCAATGATCAGCAAAACTTCTAAAAATTAAAAAGTCGATCTTGCCCTAAAGGAGGAGTTGGCATTAAGCAAACCAAATAAATGTGAAAGTATTGTTGCACCACCTGTCCTCCTATGGACAAAAAAAACCTTAGTTGTTCACCAGTAATTAGTGAATATAAATGAATTAAATATTAAATATATTAACAAATGTAAGAATCTAAGGGCCAGGGAGATGGCTCAGTAGAACAAGCGTTTGCCCGGCAAACGCAAGGACCTGAGTTCAATCCCCGGTTCTGCCAAAAAAAAAAAAAAAAAGAATCTAAATCAAATACTAGTGTTAGATATACAAAATTTTAGAATAATGGAACAGTTTCCAAGATTGGGGTGCAGGGGAAGACTTCAATAGTTTTCCAAAGTGGGCTGGGGGGACAGCTCAGCGGTCTAAGGGCCTGCCTGGCAAGCCCAAGGACATGGGCTCCATCCCTGGTGCCACACGCCGAACCTGCCACCGAAACCGGGCGTGGTGGTACACGCCAGTAAGCCCAGCACTGGGGAGAAAGGAGGATCATTAAGAGTCCCAGCTGCGCTGCGAGACCCTGTACCAAACAGATAAAAGATTAAAAATAATTTTTTAAAAAAATAGTTTCAAAGGAATGCTAGCACGGGCAGAACGGCCTCCTACCCTTCCCGAAGGTGCAGCGAACAGTCCGAGTGGCGCTGAAGCCCACCGCCCTCCTCACCCCGCCTGCAGCGCCTTCCTCCTGGAGGAAATCTCTGAGCAAGAAAGCTGGGCTCAAACCCGTGAGAGCAGTCCACGCGGGAGACGCCAGCGCGGAGGCCTTCTGCAGGCCGAAGCCTGGAGAGAGATCCCCGCCCGCAGCGGCGCATCTCGAGGTCCGCCCGCGCCCGGTCCTGCTGCGAGCACCCCAGCACCCGAGCACCCCATGCAGAGAGGTGGGGCCCAAAGCACAAACCCGGCCCGCAGCAGGCAGAAGAGGCGGAGCAGGGAGTCCCTGCGCCACGTGGTACCTAAGCCTTCAAAGTTAAAATTTAATTAGCACTCCTTGTAATTTGTGGATTAGCCCAAGGTGCAGCTAATAGATACTAAATTCAGGGATTGTGATCCGCTGCTTAGGTGCCAAATAACAGGCAGGCAAGGAATCCGCAAACGCGCCCAGGAGCCCCGCCGGCCCTCCAAGGCCCCTGGAGCTCGGTCACGGCCAGGCCGGGGCTGCGGCCGCGCTGGAGCCTGCTTCCGCACGCCTCGGATTTTCTGGTCGCGGACAGCTGGTTGCGGGCAGACGTGGCAGCACAGAAGGAGACGTTTGCCCACCAGAGTTGCTGCGGCGGCTCACCTTATTCAGGATGTCCCTTTCGCGCAGCAGCTCGTCCATCGCCTTCTTATCAAGCTCTGCTTGTTTCTTCGAAGTCTCCACCTCTAAAGTTCCAGGGGAAGAAAACAACAAAGGTAGAGGCGACTCAGGAGGGAAGCTGCCGAGCCAGAGCGGGAGCGTAAAACCAGTACTGAGTGATTTGTGGCCCTCATTATAACTCCGTGAAAGGGATTATAATGCCGCACTCAACAGTCAGAAGCAGGCTGAGGTCAGTCGGCCGGGAGAGGCTGCAGGGTCGAGATTAGGGGTTTGGGTTCTTCCACTCCAAAAAGTCCTTGATCTTTTTTTTTTCAATTTTATTTATTTGTGTGTGTGTGTGTGTGTGTGTGTGTGTGTGTGTGTGGCCAGCTCAGCCCACCAGGGGGGGGGGCTGGCTGGCATGTGGTGCTGGGGGATTGAACCGTGGTCCCTGTGCTTGGCTGAACTTGTTCTAAGTAGGTGCTTTAGACCACTGAGCCATCTCACCAGCCCAGTCCTTGATCTTTTAAAAAATCATTTTATTACTGCACAGAGATACAGAGTAAAGTTAGAAAAAACATAAAGGAGAAAACATGAACTAACCAGAACCCACTTAGGATTTTCATAGATTTCTCTCCAGTCTATTTTCTGTACAAATATGTGTGCGTGCACACGCGCACGCGCACACACACACACACAGGTGCACACACCCCAGAGCAGAAGTGACCTGCTACACACACCACTTTGCTGCCTGTTCCTATAATTAGCAACCATAGAATAAGCACCATTCTGTATTATAAATGTGCATCTATACCAGAATTTTTAATAACTGCTGTTTTACTATATGAAACTATATATTCAGCCAACCCCTCATTTTAACATTTAAATTACTTCAATAAAATAAATAAAAAATGAAGAGCTTCCAATTTTTGTGTGTATGGTTAGAATAATTTTGTTACATTCTTGTCTTATTTATTCCTCCAAAGGAGGAAGTCCTGGTTTTTTTTTAAAGGTATTTTCCTCTTACTGCCAAATTTATCTGTAGAAAATTAGTAAAATTTTAAATAGACATCAAAACTACCAATAGGTGCTATCACTTGCTTCGATGTTTGCCAGTGTGGTGGATGGTTTTTAAACCCAATATGTCAGTATTTAATTTATATTTCTTTGATTATTAGTGAAGTTGTCTGCTTTTAATATTTAATGACCATATATTTGTATTTCTGGTTTTCAAATTGACCACATTTATTCTTTGCCAGTTTTTTTTCATGAATTGCTTTTCTTTTCATAGATAGGATAGGTAGGTAGGTAGGTAGGTAGATAGATAGATAGACAGACAGACAGACAGATAACCATACTTTGGTCAATTTGTCTTCAAAGTCTTGTGTTAAAAGAAAATTTTAACTTTTATATTTCAATGAGTCTATTTGGTTTTATTGTCTGAATGTTTGATGTTATTTATTCCTTCAAAAAGTAGCTTTCTGTCAGGCGGCCATTTTCAAAATAATCCAGCTGGTATGTTAATTTAGATGGTGGCCTTAATTTAGATGGTAACCCTGGTTTTTTCTGACCTTTTCAGTCTTTTCTGTTGATCTATTTATTTGGACAACATGACTACACTATTTTATTATGGAACCTTTATAACACATTTAAATACCTAGTAAGATAAACATCCCCTCATCCTTCATTTTCAGAATTTTGCAACTATTGCTAAATGTTTATTCTTCTGGAAAACTCTAGATCAAGCTCCATACAAGACTGTTCAGTGAAATTTTTATTGGAAATATTAAATTTATAGATGACTTGGACCAATTTATATCTTTATCATATTGAATTTTCTATCTTTCTTTCTTTTTTAAAGGGAGAACACAGCTTCCTCTTTCTTTATTGGACGCTTTATAGATGTCACAAAGGCCTGAGTTACACTGTTAAATAATTACTTAAAAACTGCCCAGGCCCAAGGCCTGTTCCACAGCTCCAAACCAGAAACAGAAAGGAATGGGGGCGGTGGGCTGGGGGTGTCCTCCAACATCACCAAACTCACCAGGCAGGTCCCTCCCTGCCCACACCCAGACTGTGGGCCCTGGGCCAGCCTGCAGGCGTCCCTCGTGGCGTCTCCCCTGGGGCCAGGAGACCAGCGAGGGCTGAAAAGGGCAGCCAGCAGAGCCTGGCAGCAAATGAAGCAGAAGGAGGTGGAGGCAGGCAGGCCCCGCCCGGCAGCCAGTGCGAGAGCGGCCAGGCAGCTGTGGGAGGGGTGGGGTAGTTGTGCAGCAATCCAGGGTGCCGCCCGGCCAGTCCTTAGTGGGTGGTCAGGCGGCAGCTGGCAGCCTGAGGGCTGCTCCTGACCCAACCCCGGCTAGGAGCTCACACACTGTGGGTCCTCTTTATGAATGAGGCTCCCCGTCTACCAGCTTGGACTTGAGGTGCTCCTTGTAGGCCAGGATGTCCCCCGGCCACCTGGTGACGGTCTGCTTCTCACAGACCCAGATTGCCTGCGCCCCCTGCTGAGGGAGTCTGAAGTCACGCTAGGCAGCATCACACCACCCTCAAGCTCACTAATGGCATCCACCAGCGTGCCAGTGGTCTTCGTGTCCAGGTGGTTGGTGGGCACATCAAGGAACCGCACGTGAGGGTTCTGCCAGGCTGGCCAGGCCAGACACACTCGACCCTTCTGGCCGTCCCACAGGCTCCGAGTCAGGCTCACCTGCTGCTTGCCGGGAGGCCATGGCGCACAACCATCTTCCTCATCTCCTCCTCCTCCTTGACCTCGGGGTAGCACTTCATCCTGTACTCCAAAGGCGAGAGGTCCGAGTCCAGCTGCTCCTGCATGCAGACAGTAACCGCCTGTCTTGACGTGAGAGTGCTTTTGAATCATCCCGTCCATGGGGAACAGCTCTCCGGTCAGCAGCTTCAAAAGCGTAGGTTTCCCTGCTCCCCGGGGCCCCAGGAGAGCCACTCTTGTGTTGTAGTCAATACCGAATTCCAGGTTATTATCAATGCAAGGCCCATCTTTTGTATACTTAAGGTTCACATTGTGCACCAGAATGACAGGGGGAGGGATCTTGCCACACGAGGGAGAAGTGAAAGGAGAGCGTCTTGGCTCCCATGGCCTCTCTGGCAGTCCTGAGCCTGTCATCTTCTGTAGCATCTCCTCCTCGCTCCGGGCCTGCCGGGCCAGCTTGGCACTGCCGTGACTGACCCAGCAGTGTAGCGCTTCGTGTGTGTGATCTGGTCCTGCTCCCAGTGAAACCTTCATGTGGTCGCCTCCAGCTCCAGCCGGGTCTTCACGTACTGGCCGTAGTCACCCGTATGTTTCAGTTTCTCATTGTGCATGTGGATGATATTGGCGCAGACTCCATTCAGAAAATCTTGGGACACGAGGACCAGGGTGTGCTTTCAAATCTTCAGTTCCGCTTCCGGCCACACACACGTGTCTAAGTCCAGGTGCTGGGCTCGTCCAGGAGCAGCAAAAAGGGCTGAATAAAGAGGGCTCTGGCAAGGGCGGCCCTCATCCTCCAGCCCCGTTAAAGTCTTTCAGCTTCTCAGCTGCATGCCGGGGTGACACCCAGTCCGTGCAAGGTCCGCGAGGCTCCCGTCTCTGCCTTGTCAGCACCCCGCTCCTCCAGGCACTCACAGAGCTCCACGGGCGTCTCACACTCCACGTCCTCGTAAGCCAGGCGCTCAGCCTCCTGCTCCAGCGTGGCCCGCTCGGTGTCCACCTCCATCACACACTGCAAGGGCGTCATGTCACTCAGGGGCATCTCGCGAGTCAGGTGGCAGGTGGCAGTGTGCTCGGGGAGGGGCACTTCATGCCTCCCAGTGGCGGACGGCAGCAGGGACTTTCCAGTTCCACTTCAGCCAATGAGGCCACAGCCGCCGCGGCCCGAGTCTAATTCCAGTTTGGTGTCACTGAGCAGCTCTTGACTGTGGAAAGTGGGCGAGGGATTGATGATGTGGACATCAGTGCTGTTGGGGTGCGAGGCCAGGACGCCAGTGACAGCAGCTCTCTTCAACTCAAAGTCCTCCAGCTCTTTGGACAGCAAGCCTGCCTCTGTGGTCTCACTGCTGCCGGCCTCTCTGTTCTTCTCCTCTGCCACCTGTGCTTCTGTGACAGCATCTCCGTTTTCTTCGTGTCCCTCTTTTGGGCTGCTGCTGAGCCTGGGCAGCTTCCTCTCTTGGCCGCCTTCTTCTTGGCCAGGTCAGAGGGCATGGTGCCGAACCACAGGGCCACTCTGTCCTTTCAGGGAGTTCGGTCTCACTGCTCGGCCTCTCCATATCGAGTTTCCTTATGAAGAAATTTAGAATGCATCCCCATTTTTCAAGTTTTTCTTAGAATGTGAAGGTTATGAGCTGGGGCTATAGCTCAGGGCACTTTGCCTGGGTGCAAGGTTCCTAGTGGAAGGAAGGAAGGAAGGAAGGAAGGAAGGAAGGAAGAAAGAAAGAAAGAAAGAAAGAAAGAAAGAAAGAAAGAAAGAAAGAAACCTGACAACTTGAATATTGTCAGGAAAAATACTGCAACTTTATACAAATATTTTGCAGATATCTTGGTAACTTCATTCACAGTATTTTCTTTGGGTTTTCTTTTTTTCCCTTTTCTCTCTCTCTCTCTCTCTCTCTCTCTCTCTCTCTCTCTTTTGTTTTTGTTTTTGTTTTAGAGACAGGGTCTCACTATGTAGCTCAAGCTGGGCTTGAGTTCTGTATGTCACCCAGGCTCACCTTGAACTCACCTTGAACCTCCTGCATCAGCCTCCCGAGGGCTGGGATTACAGGCATGCGCCACCACACCTGCTCACTCGCAATATTTTATTGCTTTAGTTGCTATTGTGAGTGGAGGTTTTTCCATCATCTATTCTGGTATTTTTGGTTTATGTTCTATTCTCCTACCCTACTGAAATCTTACATTAGTTCTGGTAGTCTTCTAATTCATTTCTTGTGGTAGAAAAACCATAAATAGGGAGGACCTCTGTTCCTAACTATTATCCCCAACGCCACTCTTTTGTCGGGGCACCTGGCTTTGTGGCACATGCCTGTGACCTCTGCCATCCATGAGCTTGGGGAGGGTTATGCATTCACGAGAGCCTGGACAATGTAATAAGACTAAATAAATAAGTAAATAAATCCTAGGCAACAAGAGCAAGGCAGGGGGCACTATAGTCCCAGACTTCGAGTTATACTACAAAGCTATAGTCATAAAGACAGCAGTCCTGGCACAAAAACAGACATATTGACCAATGGCATGGAATAAAGGATACAGGGAAAAACCCAAGTGCCATCACCCATCTAATTTTTTTACAAAGTGGCCAATAATATATAGTGGTGAAAAGATGCTTTCTTTATCCAGCAGTCCTGGGAAACTCGATGTCCACGTGCAGAAGAATGAAATTTAATCCATATCTCTCATCCTCTCCCAAAATCAAATCAAGATAGATCAAAGACCTATTTATAAAAACAGATACTCTGAATTGACTGAAGAAAAAATTGGCAAAACTCTTTCAAACATAGGCATAGGCAAAACTTCCTGAACAGAGCCCCAGGGTACAAGAAATAAGACTAAGACGGGGCTGGGGGGAGAGTTCGGTGGTCTAAGCCCCTGCCTGGCAAGGACAAGGACCCAAGTGCAATCCCCAGTGCCATATGCTGTGCCGGCCCCAGAACCCCAGCCACACTGTGCCAGCCGCTGAGACTGGGCATGATGGCATATGCCTGCAACCCCAGCACTGGGGAGGCTGAGACAGGAAGACCACTATGAGGCACAGCTGTGTAGTGAGCCCTGTACCAAATAAATAAATAAAAGATTTTTAAATTTTTTTAAAGAAATAATACTAAAAATCAGCAAATGGAATTATACAAGTCTCCTGAGCAGCAAAGGCTCGACAACGTGAAGATATAGTCTACAGAAAAAACAAATTATCAGCTACTCCTCAGTCAGAAGATTCACATCTAAACTATATAACCAGAAGAAATTAGGCCACCACAAATAAAAGAGCCACTCAAGAAACGGGCCCTTGGAAACATCCCAGAAGAGTAAATACAAACGGCAAGAAGTGCGTCAGGAAAACTCCACCGTCTGTCCAGCAGAGGATGCAAATCAAAACAACCGAGTCCACCCTGCTCCGGCGAGCACAGCCATCAGCCAGGGCTCAGAAGACAGCCAAAGCTTGAGAGGCTCTGAGGAAGAAGAAACCCTTATACGCTGGCGATGGGAAAGTAAGTTAGTAAGACAGTGCGAACTTTCTCAAAAAACTAAAAATAGCAATTCTGGCGGGCGGCTCAGCGGCGAGCACAGCATGGCCAGCTGGCTGGCGGGGTACCGAGGCTCGTGCAGCCTGACTACAGAAACCTTGCTGAAGGATGTGAAGCCCGGACTGAAGAATCTGACCTTATCTTCCTTGTGCTGGAGACAGGCCGAGTGGCCGAGACAAAGGATGGGCATGAGGCTCGGACCTGCAGAGTGGCTGACAAAACTGGCAGCATCAACATTTCTGTCTGGGACGACGCGGGCAACCTGGTCCAACCTGGGGATATCTCCCGACTCACCGAAGGGTGCGCTTCAGTGTTCACAGGTTGTCTGACACCGCACGCTGGCCGTGGGGGGATCTGCAGAAGACTGAGAACTCTGCATGGCTTATTCGGAGGCTCCTAACTTCAGTCAGCCCAACCCAGAGTACAGCACCCCGCGGGCACCCAACAAAGCTCACAGAACGACAGCAGCCCTACAGCCACCCAGGCTGCCACCGGACCCCTGCGGTCTCTCCAGCTGCTGAGAGCCACAGTGGGAGTCGACCGAGTGCCCTGCCAGGCCCTGGTGGTGACTCATGTCCCCCTCACGCTCCCCTCCCCGCCCGCCCAGCACCTGGGTCCCTTGAAGCCAGCCCAGCCACATGGCAGCTGGCCCTCCTGGCTCCTCTAGCAATCCTGCCAGTAACGGCAAAGAAGCCCACAGGAGCAGCAGGAGATACCGCGACACTTCTCCCCTGCTGCCACCACCACAGCCCAGCTCCTACTGGAGAAGCGGTCTTCCCTTGGGCTGCTGGCTGCGAGTGGAGGTTAGGGTAGAGTGTTCCAGCCACTAAACTTCCCGGGAAGGGTGGGGAGCAGTGGCCTTATCCACCCTAAGTCCATATTTCACTCATCCGCCTGGAGGTGCCTTATCCACCCTAAGTCCATATTTCACTCATCCGCCTGGAGGTGCCTGTCCCCTACGATGCAGGCCCCCTGCCAGCCCTTCTTCCTCTTTAGAAACACAGTTACAGTCTCTTTCTCGTGGGTGTGATATGAGAGTCCAAATGAAATCCCTCCCAATGAATGTTTCCACTCTGAAAAAAAAATAAATAAATAAAACCAGAAATCCCACTTGACCCAGCTGTACTCTCCTAGGTATCTTCCTACGATGACAGCTACAGCCCTCGTGTCACAGCAATCAATGGGTGCCCACGTGTGCCGCCCGCAACTCACAAGAGCTACAATCGCAGAAGCAGCCAACGTGTCCACCCGCAGGCGAGTGCCCCAGGAGGACGTGGCAGCTCTGGGCAGAGGACCACCCCTCTGCCACCAAGAAGGGTAAGTTGAGTCATTTACAGGGAAGTAGAGGGACCTGAGAGTGCAATGTGAAGTGAAGCAAGCCCATCAAAAAGCTCAAATACCATGTGGCTCCTCTCTTACCAGAAACCCAAAATGTAAATGATTTAAAGAGCAAAACAAAGAACCATGTTAGGAGAGTAGAAGGCAGGTTCTGGAGAATGCGAAGTGGAACTGAGGAAGGAGAGGAAGAGGAGGGTGGGGCAGCAGAAAGGAAAATTGATCACGAGGTCCTGCGTGCGTGTGTGTGTGTGTGTGTGTGTGTACCCCAGCTGAATGTAACCACTCCGTATCACAAACTCACCTAGTTAAAAAATAAAACCATCCTTAAAAAGAAATGACGATGTAAATAGTATCTATAGTGTGATGACTTTTGAAATCGTGACTTAAAGATGAACGGATTGAGTTCAATGCTGAATGAATTTTTAAAGACTTTTCTTGTGCTCAAAGCTAAGCCAAATTGCTACCAAATCTGTAGAAATTGGCATATGGGAGTGTTCCGGTGGTCGCTGGGCCAGCTTCTGTCATTGAAGAACTTTGGTTGTGTGACAGTTGATCTTGATTGTCAACTTGATCAGATTAAGACATCTAGGAGATCTGCAAAGCATGCTTTGGGCTTCTGGGGGAGTTTCCAGAGATGACTGCCACATAGGCCAGCAAACTGGGGGAGGACACCCGGCCTGACTGGGTGGCACCAACCAATAAGCTTGCAGCCGAGGGACCTAGCAGGAGGAGAGCAGCAGGTGTGGTGGCACACCCTGCAGTCTCAGCACTGGGGAGGCTGAGGCAGGAAGGTCACAGTGAGACCCAGTCCCCCAGAACAAGAGAAGGCGGAAGTTGGCCTGCACTAGAAGCCGGATCCGCCTCACAGGGGCATCTCTGATTGCTGCCCTCTCCTCTGGACAGCAGACTCCAGCTCCTCAGGCCGTGACTCTCAGGGGCTTCAGCCCTGGACTGCAGCGCATCTCCATCCTGCTAGAGAGGCTCACTGGTACTGGTGAAAGCTCACGCTAGGCTGTGAGAGTCCCGCAAGCAGAGTCTGCCTGTGCCGAAGCCTGCACAGTCTGCTTTCAACGCATGGAGCGATGAGCAGAGAAACTGTCAAGATTACGTGCAACTGCCCCTCAGCGGGAGATTATTTCCTAAAGTCTCAGGAGGAAAAGTATCCGCTTTTCTCAGAAAAGACTGAAATGGTAAATATGTCCAGTCATCTTACCTAGCGATTTGGATTTTACCCATTTGAGTGGGGTGGTGTACGCTTTGGTGCCTTTGTGCCTGTTAATCTCAATCTCTGATTGATAACTCATGGCAGCTGCAAGAGGCCAAGGGCCACAGGTGTTCCTGCCTGCTACAGTCAGAATCATCTTCAGAGACTGTGTCCCCAGCCCAGAACTCTTTCTGCACGCCAAACTTGGCCAGCATGTCATATTTTAGCTATATTCTTACTCAGAAAGTAGTATTGCATCCACATGATAATACCTGACATTTAGGAAGCAATTCCAGTCCTGAGTGTTGTCTGGAATAGTGTCCCGGACTGCGCTAATGAAGAACATTCATCCTAACACATTCCCTCATTGTCTATGGACAGCCCGAAAACACTGGGCAACACTTTGGGCTGGTGTACACTGTGCCAAGAGGACCCTTGAAAGAATTTAAGGTTCGGCCTTTAAGGTGTCGAAATAGGGACCCCTCCGTACTGGCTGGTCGCCGGTGTGAATCTGTCGCACTGATCGCATTCCGTGCGGTGTGCTTGTGCACACAGCCCTGAGGGCCAGTCACTAGTGAGATGTGTGTAAGTTAGAGGAAAACAGGACAAAACGGCTTACCTCTCTCTAACCCCAAGATCTGATTTTTTAGGGTCTCCTTGTGCTGCTCCACCTCTGTCTTTTGGTCCTCGACCTGATGCAGTTTCTTGTGGATTTGGTCTCTAATTTTGTTGAGCTTCCCAATGTCAAGACGCATCTGATGGACCTCCTCCTCTTTGGCCTGTGATTAAGAAAGTAAATGGAGAAGCGAAGTAAATCAAGGGCAGAGACTTGTGGGATGAAAGCCAAACCCACACTGTTAGGTTTGGAGAGTAACTGAGAAACTCTATTCTGTGGATAAAATATGTGGCTACGTGAACTAAAAATAATGAAAAGGTCGAAAAAAAATCTGATGTTTCAAGTTACCTTCTAATTGCAGTCAAATAAGGATATATAGAGAGTTGTATATATTATAAATATGTGGATTTTGCACACAAATACTGGACTCAATTGATAATTTTCACGGGCTTGCAGAAAGCAATCTCTCTGAGAGGCATGGTACCAGCTTGGCAAGCCCGAGCCCTGAGTTTAATTCCCAGTTCCAAAAACAATGATCTTTCTGAGAAGGCTATGAACATGTGACAAAATATTTAAACAACCTTTTGGGCCCATAAGGCCACAGTAGCCCAGGTACCCGTACTACCTTCCTAGGAGTATTTTAGTCTATGGGTGCATACACACGTGCCTGCACACACACACACACACACACACACACGGGTAAGCAAAGGTACAGAATGATAAAAGGAGCCAAACAATTCTAGCAAAGAAAATCTGCCAATTTTTGTCTATTGACTACAAGTTTTATGGATTTTTAGAATTAAATACACTTTAAAAAAAATATTGCTACTAGACATGGTTGAAAAAGTAACTGAGGGTGGTTCTGCAGACAGTGGCGAGCAATTACCTCACCTCCAGACGATGGAGAGGCTGACAGCAGCTTGTGAGCTGTCTCTGGGCCATCGCTGGCCAGCCGCACAATCCCATTAGATGTGGGGTACGAGAACCAAAATAGTCTGTCTTTACAGATGTCCCATTCGGGTTATCAAAGGAGCACATTAATGTCATAAGTATTTTTCCTTCAATTTCACCCTGAGGGCCAGTATGTTATTACTCTGACTTAAGTAATCATTTCATTTCTGTTTTAAGCCATCAAACTTTCATCCAGTTCCAAGTCAACCCATTTCATTAATGCAAGAAGCCCTCTTTTGGTACCAGAGATCGATATGTGGCCTTGCGCTTGCCAGGCAGGTGCCTGCGCCACTGAAGTGTCTCCCCGGCCTGAGCTGCTTCGTCCCTCAGCCTCAGCCCCTCAGGCCTTAGAAGGTGTAAGATAGCTGACTGCAGGGGCCCTCTCAACTCTAGGATGATCTAAGCTGATGGCCATTAATCTGGACCCCTTGGTTAGCTGTCAGACAAATCCTAGAAATCTCATATTTCCGGGAAGAGGACAAAACTAGGTGCCAGGTGTGTGCCGGAGGAGGGGGTGCACACCGTCATCCCAGCCCTCCGGAGGTGATGCAGGAGGAAGGCTCTGAGGTTGGAGGCCAGCCTGGGTTACAAAGTGAGTTCAAGGCCAGGCTGAACGGCACAGGGAGACCCTGCCAAAAGAGAAAGAAAGCAAGATGTGCAAATAAGAGTGTGCGCCATGTGCACACATGTGCACGCGTGCACCAGCTTGCAACCGGCTCTGAAGGGGAACTGTAACGCCAATACGTTACAGTACTACTGACGCCCCCTGGTGGTCTAGTGGTCAGGACTTGCAGCTCTCTCCAACTGATACAATTTTATGAAGGCTACTCCTTTCATGTCCAATAACAAACAAAAATAGGGAACATGAAATTTTCAAAACTGAAGTAGTAAATGTGAAGCTGCTCTGTTAACTACAAAAGCATATAAGGGTAAGATAAACTTGCACAAGATAAGCTCCAAGCGGTCCTCAGTGATGGGAGGGAGAACAGGAAACCCCTCTTGCAGTAGACATTAGACCCTAGTCAGATCCCGCAGTGCTGAATACCCAACAGTCCACCCACTCTCTCCGGAGAGTAACACACACTCTCAGTTCTTTGTGTGTCAAGCCCATAGCTCTGGGCCACTATTACACAAAAGGCTAATTCCAGAGAGGAACATCTGAGCCTGCTTTGGAAAGCACCTGCAGAGCCGTGTGAGCAACAATCAGGCTTGCAATTTTACACGAAAGGCAGCTTTCTGACTGCTTCCTGCCACAAAGCAATGATGGAGTCAGTCCGGCGCCTGCCTCTGGTGTACCAAGGCCCCTGGCAGGGCCAGCCCAGGGCACCAAACCATGCCCTGGGTAGTGAGGAGTGAGGGCCTAGGACATGCAGGTCCCCTGGTGCGGTGCTTACTTTGAGCTCCAGCGCCTTCTGCTGGTTTTCCTGGGACAGCTGCTCACAAACCAAAGTGTGCTGCTCGTTCTCCTGCTGAAGTTTCGAATTTCTCATCTGGAACTGCTCGAGTTCCTTTGCAGCTCTCTCATTCAGTATCTGAAAGGCGTGGGGAGGAGGAGCTGGTTAGTGCCTTTTAATCCGATCACAGTGTCTGTATACACCCGCAGGAGGCCCCGCAGCCTCCTGGGGTGGCACCAGCCACTGCAGTTCTTTGTCTTTGTAGAGCTTGTTCTCTATCCCCAGTGAAAGCACTCACACATTCAGCTGTGACGAATGTTAAGTGGCTGTGGAAAATGACGCCTCCTGACGAGCAACACAGTGAGCGTAATATTTTGAAGCCTTGGGAAGTCTTGTTCACGGGTGGTAGATAAATATTTTAATGCCCGTTTGCCGTTTGGCAGGCTTTGCACGCGCAACAATTGCTATAATCATTGCAAAAGAGCTGGAGATGTAAAGGGCTTTCTCAGCACTGGGGTTTGAGCTGCATCCTCCACCGCAAGCCAGCACCAACACTGCTGATAATGCCTCTGTGAGCAGAACCGCTCAACAGCCCCAGCACAGAGCCGCTGTCCTGCTCCAACTTCAGCCAAAACTTCGGCGCAACAGCGTGTGCTTTATGTCTGCCTGGTTTCACCATCAGCTGGATTTTCCACTCTCCTATCATGGCTATTCTGAGCAGACACAGAGTTATAAAAATGGTGGATTATTATCTCCTATTATCTTAGGAGATCATTTCTTTGGGGAAGGTGGCAGGATAGCATGTGAGCTAAAGACACTGGTTCCTAAAGAACAGGCAGTTTCTTCAAAACGTAACTCCCAATTATGCAAAAAAAAAAAAAAAAAAAAAAAACTAGACTCGGGAAGAATACACCCAACCCCCAACAGGGACTAAACAAGATAAAACCAGCCTGCTAAAGATAAAATTGTGTTTTGCATGGGTTCTGGGTACTGCTGTACAAAGCACTGTGGTTTTATCGTGAGGTTCAAAGGCCTTTCTTTTGAATTTCATGTTCAAAGAAGTCCAGTGTTTTTCTCCTAGAGACTGAATATTGTGCATTTGACTTCTGGGTTTATACAAAATTAATAAAGCAAATGACAAAGAACTGCATTCTAATATCTATTTTTAATGTAGGAAAGCACTGTACATCTCAACAAATCCTTAGAAAGGATTTCGCAAATATTTTTTCAGGAAAAATTCAATTGTATCAATTGCTTCCTTAAGAAATGAGGGGCTGGTGAGATGGCTCAGTGGTCTAAAGCACCTACTTAGAACAAGCTTCGCAAAGCACAGCGACCACGGTTCAATCCCCAGCACCACATGCCAGCCAGCCCCGCCCCCTGGTGGGCTGAGCTGGCTACACACACAAAAATAAATAAATAAATAAATAAATAAATAAAATAAAAAAAAAAAAAAAGAAATGAGAAGGGCGAGGGAGATAGCTTAGTGGCCTAAGTGCCTGCCTTGCATGCATAAGGTCCTCAGTTCAATCCCTAGTACCGGAAAAAAAAAAAAAAAAAAAGTACTTTCTTTAAGAACATGAGAAGTAAGGGCCCAGTCATAGCTCAGTGTTAGCGCACTTGCCTTGCAGGTCCAAGGCCCTCGGTTAGGTCCCAGTGACTTGAAAGAAACAAACAAACAAAGAATGGGGGGAAAAAGAAAGAAGAGTTCCTAAAATTTGTGTTAAGCAGCTATTTGGGTGGAGTGTTAAAAACATCATAAAGATTAAAAATGCATAAAGATTGAGTATGTTTTTCTAAACTTGAAACTTAAAAACATACCTGTTAGGAGCAGGTCGTGTGACACACAGGGCGAGGCTTGCCACAGTGAGAGACGGCCCGCTGCGCCCTGCTGCACAGAGCCTGGCGAGGGCGAGCGCCCCCTCAGTGTCACCACAGAAGCCCCCCCTCGCGGAGCTGCTGGCCGCTTGCAGTGCCAGGAGAGCAACGGAGGAAATCCAAGGGAACTCCGGTCTCACTTATTTTAAGTAACTGTAAACAGCCACACGCGGCTGCACAGCTGCCATCTAGGCTCCTGCAGGTCTCTAACTGCGCGCCACATCACCACGAGCCTACCACAAAAGTCAGACAAAAAGCAAGGTGTCTACCGTCCATTTCATTTCCTTGCAAAACTATCATCTGCTTAAGATTGATTCAGAACAGAGGGCGCCTTTCAGGAAGAAAGGGGTGCAGGGGGGACACAGGGGGGTTGTGCAAAACTCGGGTGTTCTACTTCTAGAGCTGGGGACAGATGGCCAAGACATGCTGAGTGCTGAGCACTCCTCATGCTACACACGTGTAACACACATGCTTTTACACATATTATATACCGAGAGGAATTAATTGCTGGGTGCAGTGGCTCATGTCTGAGGCTGAAGTGGCAGAATCGTTAGCTCAGGTCCAGCCTGGATAACTGAGCAAGACTCAAAATTAAACGTATAACAGGGCTGGGAGGTAGCTCAGCGTGCTCTAGCTCCCAGTACAAAAGTACTAGTGACAATAGCGACGATAAAGACGATAGGCCTGTCAGAGTTGCCGGGCTGCAGGGGAGATGCGGAAGCGCCTCGGATCCACCCAGAGCCCTGACTGCTCCCAGGTGCCGGCGCCCAGCGTCCCTCCGCAGTGCAGCCCTTGCTGCTTTCCAGGAAAGCTCCAGCCCCGCGCTGGGGCACCCGCCTGCCCTCCCACCACCTCACGGCCGGGCGCGCTCGCCTTCTGCTCCTTGAGCTGCTGCTCCAGCCGCTGCAGCTCCTCCTTGCTCTTCTGCACGTACTGCTGCAGCGCCTTGATCTCCGTCTGCCTCGTGTCCATGTCCGTCTGAATTTGCTTGAGCTCTTTCTCCAGTTTCTCCTTCTTCCGAGACTCTCGCGATGCCTCATTCTGGTGATGCTGGATTTCTTGTTGGAACTAGAAAGGAAAGGGGACAGGGAGGAAAAAGACGGCTGTCACCTGGGCAGTCCCACCCTCCCTCGGGCTTGTCACTGCCAGGCAGTCGCTGTGCGTGGCAGTTCCTGTGGGACAGTTACCCTTGCGCCCCAAGCCCTTCAGGGATGTTCTCTGTTGCTTTTGGGGGCCCTGTCACCTGATGTCACGCCATGGGCCGGCAGCAGATAAGCAGAGGAAGGTACTAATCAACTAAATACAGAAAATCCAGAGTCCTGGGCTTCAACACAGAGAGAATTCACCCAGGCCCACGCAGCAGGGACTAAAGCTAGCGTAGCCAGCTGCCTCGAGCCCCAGAGGGTGTTTCTCACCCCGCCACGCTACACACGCTGTGCTTTTCTGTGGTGCTTAGAGCCTCCTCCTCAGGCCCCAGTCTCCTGCCTTTCTCTCCAAGACCACGTGGGTGCGTTCCCACTTGGCTTCTGGCTTCCTGTGAAGGTGCTCAGAAGCAGGCAGCTAGACAGCTTTCCTACGGAGCAGAAAGGTCAGGGACACTACCTCCCCTGGGCCCAAGGCAGTGCCTCTGGCCTTGTCTGGGACACTGGCTTGGGCTAACTGTGAGCAGCAAGTGCCTGCCCGGAGAAAAGCACAGAGAAAGGCCAGCTTGGGAAAAACTGAAAAGGAAGAGGAGGGGAGGAGAGAGTTGTATTGTACCCTGTCAAAATTGACTCCATTTTGTTGCCCTTCTAACCTCGCCGAGTTCCTGTTCTGTATGCGCCGACCCCTCCCAACTCCTCACCCCTTGACTGCCAACTCAAATTCCTCCCAGTTCCTCACCCCTTGATTGCCAACTCAAATTCCTCCCAATTCCTCACCCCTATGACTCAAGTGTTATGATATCTGCTCCCCAAACCTTATCTCAATGAACTCTGTATGACTGCCAACTCAGCACCTTCACCCAACAGGACCACCCCATGAACTAATGACCCGCTGTACCCCATGATTGCTGATTCCAGCACCCCAC